TCCCCACGATTGGCTGATCGCGGGCAGCGGCGTAGTCATAGAAGCCGACGAGCCTCCAGGGTGGAGGCTTTCCCAAGCGCCGTAGGTTGCCCATCTTCGCCAATCATCCCAAGTCTGCTGATTGCCGTCTCTAGCAAGCTGTGGGGTCCACGAGCCTCCAGCTGCTGCCATCGCGCCACACGAATCCTGTCGGTCACGAGCAAGGCCTAGCGGACCAAGCTCCGCTACCAACTGTAATCACAGTTGGAGCGACGGCATGCAGTCGGAAGGCTGCTATCCTTTTTCCACTTTGCTGCTGTGTGGCCTTGAGCCAACGTCCACCGGTCGGCAGTCTGTCAGAGCTGCTTCACGTGACTGCTATCCTGGTCAATAATGCAAAGCACAAGCATCAGGATTATCTTCACAAGGGGAAAGAGAGCAGGAATTCCTAGGCTTCTCCTCGGTGTAGAATCTGAGTCGTCTCCTGGACTTGGCCAGTTTCTGCTTAATTTAAGATGAGATTCATGATTGGATGCTCTCTCCTGGTGCAGCTTCTACCACGGCCGGGAAAATGGGAGCTTTCGTGAATTTCACCCAGCCTTTCTCTTTCGGCCTCCTGATTCGGGGGCCACGGAAAGGTACGCAAACGGACACCTCGGGCAGAACTGCGGCTTGGCAGTGGTGTGCTGAGCCAGTCTGGCTGTGCGGAAACACTGGACCACTGCCGCTGAAGCTCTCCAACGTAACGAATTGGCACTGTGCAGGATCCGCAGTTTTTTGTTTTAAGACTTGCCCGATAATGACTGTGTGCAAATTGAACCTTGGATGCCTGGCAAGAGCTGCAACAAGCGACGAAGTCTGGTGTAACAGACAGTCTCGCACCGTGCCAATACCTCCAACAGGCTCTCCAGCAAGTCCCGAGTCAAACTGACTGCAGCTTCTCTTGCTGAGAATCAAAGTCTGCTGCAGCTGCCTTTGGTCACCAATGCCTTCCTTGAGGAATGCTTGGAATCTGGCCATGTTTCTTCCCGAAGACAACCATGCGGCCATGCGGTGCAACAGATCACTGCGAACTCATCTACCAGTACTCTAAGTGTTGCGGCATCACCATTGTTGTCCTGGCTTCTCCAATTACCACGCCGACCAGCCCCCTCTTAAGCTCCAGATAAGCTCCATGGAACGTCAACCACACTTCAGGCAAGTTCTTGCCAGTTCTTGGCCGGGGGACAGGCTACATCGCTTAACTGGAACATGGAGTCACGAAGTCACCATTAATGTTCTAGGAGCGGTCCTCGCCCCTCTCCCTGTCCCCGCCATGTGATGGCACAGGGGTTTTCAACCGCTCTGCCAAAGCATGGATTGCAAATGTCTGTGTCTCCAATCGAGACACTGGACTTGCAGGCCACAGGGCTCACGGTGTGCCTGGCTCATCCATCTCCGGTGCTCCTAGCACTCAACTAGAGCCGTGACCCCATCGATTTTGCATCAACTTGCCGTATGTGGGTGGGATGCAAGGGTGGCCTGCATCGCGAGCTCTTCCAGCTGCTTCCGAGAAAGCCATGGCAACCTTCTGAGCCACCGCTGTGCGCCGCACGATGCCTTGTAGACCTTGGGTGGAAACTTCGACGCTACCAGCAGCCAAAAAGCCGCTACCCAGCCGTCGAAGCAGCACTTAGCTAATTTTTGAAGTGTGGCGGAACATCATCGCATGCCTGCATTTGCAGCCGTCCACTGGGGCAACAGCACTTGGTCACGCGATCATGCTCCTTCTTGCTGCTTGATTGCCTGGCGAGCCGCAACAACTTTCCTTGGATCCCTGGACAGCTGCGGACGGACGAAGGGAAGCTCTCGATATCACGGGCCGATCCCGTTGAGCTCTGATAAAATAGAAGGCAGCGGGCACCTGCCATCTGCTACCAGTGACATCAGCGTCCGGGTGCCGCGGCGGGGCGAAGCTGCACCAGCACAGGTCTCTGAAGAGCACATTCCTATATATCCCCGAAAGCATGTCAGTGGAGAAGACAGTGATCCATGTGTGGGCAATGCCTTTGGCAGCCAGCGAAGGCGCAGAGCTTGAGGTCTTCATCTTGTAGCTGTTCAAGCGCCCTTGCCATTCCAAGGAAATGCAATGCGACTTCAAGTTGCAGCAGGTTGCAGCAACCACGCCTCGAAGAACCGCTGGCGAGAGCAGTTCCGAAGATTGGAGGGCCTGGTTGGACCTGTAAGACACTGTAAGATAAAGGCTGAGGCGTCAAGTGTCAAAGCTTGTTGGCCTTGGCGATCCGCTGCCTTCCCGATGGATACCTCCACAAAAGGCTGGGCTGTGACGGCGGTGATGTCTCTGTGGACGCCGCCCCGTGTGACAGCCGCCCCACGTCCCAGGTGCCTTCGAAATGGCCTCCAAACTCAGGGGATGTTTCGTCAATTTCGTCTGCACGCGGCAGAAGCAACAGGAAAAAGTTGAGGCCCAGGCGAGGCAGCCACGATGTCTTCGATTCGTGCAATGGCCAAGTGTGGTTGTGCATCTTGCTCCGTGGGCTAGCCTGGGCATTAATTACACGAAGACGGCATCACCGAGTCTTCGCAGCTATGCAGGCAAGGTGCTGCAGCCGTCGACCTGGGGGTATTTGTTAGTAGCTGCTTGCAGCCGCCAAGAAGCATTCGTTTGACAGTTTGCGACCTGCCTCTCAGGGCTGTAACCCGTCGTCCGCGATGCACCAGAACAGCGCCGCCGGCCTGATGGAAAGGAAGCACCCGTAGTAGGAGTGCGCTTCTCGAAAGCGAGTGGCCGTACGGAACCACAGATGGCCTGCAAAAGCCTGTCCAAAAAAACATCAGAAACGATCGGCACGCCCCTGCGCAGTCGTGGCATGCAAATCCTGCCCTAGACCCCGCACCACAGGCCAAACTAATTAAGCCATCGATAGAACAAACCATTCGTGACGTGGCCTCGGCCATCACGCGGGGACCGAGGGGATCGGTGCCAGCGCATGGCATTGAAGACCGGTGGGTAGTTGCAACAGGCTTCCTGCGCCACCTGCTCGGAAAGGAAATGGAGGCTTGGGCCTCGGTTGCCTTCTCGGCTTCTGGGAGCAGCTGGCCATTTTCTGATTTTTCGGAGTCTTCGGAGTGTTTGTAATCATCTAACGGTCTGCTTCATCCTCGCTTGGGCCTTCGGGCCGGGGGATACGGTCCGGGACGCATGCTGGCCCTGCGGGGCGGTGCGTTTCTCTCCTCAAGCCTTTTCCATGGGTCATAGGATCGTTTAACGAGCACTCTGTGTCGCCATGCGCCATGCATGTCCTGACCTTCGCGACGCTTGGACACCATGCAGCGCTTCAAAGTCAAAAAAAAAAGTGTTTGTTGCATGCTTCGGCCACCCGGCAAAAGCGCAAGCTCCCAAAAGTGAGATTTGCATGGGAGATGTGATGCCTCATTAAATCAAGCTCATTGGATGCCAGACAGAAACGAAAGCCCGGCCTTCCGCGCCAGAAAAGAGGCTGGGCTCAGTGGGCGCTTTAACCGCCGCAGGGCCACTTCCTGCAGTGGGGCTTCGTCCTGGCGGCAGCACTAGGATCGATCCGACATCGGAATACATCGGACAGGTCAGCAGATAGATAGATGGACGAATAATTGCAGTTAGAAGATGCCTTGCCCAGCCCAACGCATGTATATACATATATATATATAGGGTAAAAAAATGAACCAGAGTCGAAAGAGCTGGGCAGCGTGGATGCAAGCACGTATGTAGTGCCATGTAGCTTAAGCCTGCAAGATGACAACATTATTCTGCTTTACACTGGCCCGCATAAAGATACACCCTTGTCGTATCGCAATGGTCAGATTCGATCGATTTTCGCCAAGGTTGGTTCCGGTGAGCGTCATAAATGGTGCCTATCTTCGGGTGCTCCTGGCCTGAACCCTTCTCCGCGATGTTCCCTCGATTTTGGAACGATACTGCTAAGGACTAAGAGAAGGACCTGTATGAATCTAACCGAAGAAGCTCGTATGCTTGAGCAGGTTCCCAGGCTTCTACCACGGCGCGTATCGGCTCCCGCACGACAGCTTCCCGTGCTGGCCATAGTGCCCGAGGCAGCTCCGCTATAACAGAGCCGCAGATGGTGGCACCGGTGACCGCTTCACCGCCATTGGTTGGTCCGCAAGAGCACTCACCAGTAGAAGTTGCAACTCTGCAACCAGAAGTCTCAGCGAGGCAAGCTGCCCAAATGCGGATGCGGAAGGCAACGGCGTATGCTGAAGATCCAGGACATTCCAGAGGTGAGCCTCACAGAGGTCGGCGGATTGCATTGTGCCAGACGGGGACTGGAACAGCACCACAGCGATCTCACAGTTTTCCCCGGTCCCCGGTGTCAGAATTGAACCGCAAGGCGAGCAAGTTTGTGGGAGCAACGGTCATCACGTTTGAGGGAAATGCATTGGCAAGGAGGACTGGACGTCAAAAAAACATTGCTGTGAGCAGTACTGAGTGTGAGCCTCAATGTTGCGTCGAAACGGCCCAGATGATCAGCACAACCACAGGGATCAAAAGGCATCCGTATTTGAACGAACGGGATGCCCAGCACAGCTTCCAAAAACAAAGCCGCCCCCCATTTCGGGTGGGTGGGACGGCGACTTGAAAGGAAAAACCGTCTCGAGATCAACACGTGCGCGCACATTCAGATCTACAGGCCTCAGTCGGACGCGATCTTATCTCGTAGTTGATGATTAGCTAATGGCCCGTAAGCTCATCCAGCTTCTTGGTGCAATGAGCTGATGCAAACAGCACAATCAGAGGGACTAGAAGCTACCCGTAGCTTAACGAAAGGAGGCCCAGCACAGCTTCAAAACACAAAGCTCCCTCCCATTTCGGGTGGGTGGGAGGGCGACTTGAGAGGAAAAGCGCCGAGTGCACCTCCGATCAACAAGATCGCTGACACTCAGAACTGTAGCCTTCGCTCGAGCTCAATCATTTCTCGTAGCTCATGGCCTGCACAGTAAGCACATCCAGCTTCTTGGCACATTGATCTGATGCCCAGCAGCACAATCAAACGGATTAGAAGGCATCCGTATCTTGACGAATGGATGCCCGGCACAGCTTCAACAGACAAAGCTTCCCAAACCACCCAAGGCACTTGGTGTTCACAATGGTGGGGAGGGTGGGTCGACATGATACAGGTTATTCGCATACGTCTTTGTTCGCATACGGCTCTGCAAAGCTGGTCGAGGGAACGCCCCCGGGAGTGGACCACCGAAATTAAGCCGTAGGCTGCCCATGCTGGGCTTGGGCGCGGTTACAAAGTCCACGATCCCTGATGCAAACTTTGTGAAGCCGTGGCAAATCACCCGAATTGCGCCACGGCGTGCCCCATTGACAGAAATCAGCGCGAAGGAGAAAACTGTGACGAGCTTGCGCCAGCGCTTGAATCCCAGGCAGGAACCAACATTTAACAGACTTCGGGTTTTCAAAAAGCCAACACACATGATTAGTGTCAAGCAGACGAATAGTGTGCGGGGCAGCTCTGAAGCCTTTGTTTCCCAACTCCAGGCTCGCTTTCTCCTTCTCTGCAAAATCTGCATCGAAACGACCCCAAGGATGTAACCGACTGCGAATCACTCCGGTACATGGAGGGGTGTGGTACATGGAGGAGCGAGCATACCGGCTATTAGCACGACCACTATGAATTTGAGAATGTACTCTTTGCAAAGGTCGGTCCGAAGTAAAGTTAAAATGCTCTCCATGCTTTATGTCCCACTGCTTTTGCACTGAGCCCCAAGTGCGCCACGTCACCAGCTCCTGGAAAAAGGTCTAGCACGTAAATGCGTTTCCTCCGCCGCCAACGAAACAAGGACGGATGGCGCGAGCGGTGCCAATCATCACTGCTTGGAGTTGTGTTTCGGCATCGAAGCAATGCCTTTGGACTTCGGCTGGCTATTGAAGTTCATGGCCAACTGCTACGCTCGTGCCGCGCCAAACACTGACTGTCTGCTTTTCCAACGACCTCTTTTTTGCATTTCGTGCAAGAAGCGGATTCGATTGGCTAGAGTCTAAGAGGAGGCTGTCGTCGTGAGCAGTGAGCACTAAGGCTCCAGAACTCCGTCACCCGAGAAGAGGGCGGCGCCAGACTGGACAAGCCCATCATCCGAAGCAGCGCCTTGCGGTCCCCAATCATGAAGTGTCGGGTGGGATCTATGTCGACCTCCTCGCCCACGGTAGTGCTCGGCTGACAGCCAGATGCTACCCGCGCCGAGCTCCGCTTGGGAGCAACGGCAAGGGGCCATGCATCACCGCCCCGTCCATGCCCATAACCTCGTCTGGCACCCAAGTCGGAACAAGCCCCGGCCCCCAGCTCAACTCCGAACTGCCGGTCCGCAACTCCTCCATGGTCACTGGGTTGTGAAGCCGATAAGCTGTGCACCCACCTCAAACCAATGCTCCATCTCCCCCGGCGCACCGAATATCTTCAACAACGTGCCTGTCCCCCACCGCCACTGTCTCTGTCCTGGAATCAGTTTCAACCAGGATGCTATGACCACGCCGACGAAGGCTTCCACCCGGAGAACGTATCACTCGGACCTGCCTGCCGTCCCCGAAGGAACCCACAAACAATCCGGCCAAGCCCGCCGCCAAAGGAGACAGTTCCTGGTCAAAAACAACGTTCAAAAACACACCAGTAGGCGCAAGCAGATGGCTAGCAGATTCACCACCCACGCTGCGAGCACCGCTGGAAGTTTACGGGAGGGGACCGGTCCCCCCTCCCATCGCATTGCACAGACTCGCGCTTTCGACTTGAGAGGAAAAGCCGTCCCGAGCGCGCATCCGCTCAACACATGCACACACATTCAGTCGACACGGGCATCAATAACAGACATGCCAAAGTTGCTGCCCAAGACTTTTGAATAGCTCCAACCTGCAACCCATAATTCATGATGTGTTTGATAAGCCTATTGGTCAGCGGGGCCTAGCGAAGAGGCATCACCACATCTCAGGCTTATACGCTACAGTTACAGTGAAGAACACCCAAATCTGCGAGGGTCACCGTAAGCGAGGAGGAGCAACCAGCAGATTGCAAAATGATGGCATCCCTGCACGAAATATGCAAGTACACAGGACACATCGAATACAGCTTGGTATATAACAGCTGTGATCGATCGCAAGATTTGTATTTTATCGTAGGCTGCGCATGAGTCAGTGCGGGGTGTGTGTCTGAACTTCAAGCTGAAGATCAAGATACTGAGGGAAGCCTGGTAAAGTCGTCAATCCAAGATCGGCGGAAAGATTGACAGTATATTGATGAGGTTAAGTTGCCCGACGGCAAGATCGACTTCGTTGAAAAGGATATGAACAACACTATAGTGCTTAACGGATACAGCCGCCCTTGAATAGCAATGGCTACTGTGACACCACACCTTCAAAACGCACGCCGTTTACACGCCCTTGACAGCAAATTACATACGTACAGAGCGCAGAAACGGATGTCTTCGTGATGGCAGAGAGTAAAGTGCAACGACGAGCGAGCAATCAAAGAAGAGTCCGAATCCTTCCGAAGCCCGCGCCCCGATTCGCCCCCATTTCCTCGCCATTGATGCTGGTGGCGAGGTCGGACAAGCACGCCTCGGAAGCCAGGGAATGGGCTTTTGTCTCTGTGAGGTGACCTCTGGCTCTGCAATTTCGCCGCTGAACTGCCGACGAAGGGCGGTATTCCAGGGCCGAAGGCTGAAGGGATCGCAGGGAGGTAGGACATCCATCCGGCCATAGGACACGGAAATGCAACCTAAATCGTCGGTCCTATCACCCCTGCGGGTCTCTTTTTTTCTCCGTTCGTATGGCCTTGCTGGAGGCTGTTGGATTCTCGCTCACAAATTTGCTTCTGTTGGCTCTTCCTATTTGCTGAGGGACTTGGTGCCCTCGCCTCTTTCTGCGCTGTGAGCCGAGCAAGCAAAAAGGGTGGGCTTTTTCAACAGTCCGGGGGCATGCAGTGCAGGAACCCGCGGGCAGGTCTTGCCTGACAATGTCAGCAGAATCCTGGCCCATTCGCTCACGGAGCTCAGGGGAGACAGAGTCTTATTCGAGCTGGGATTGCCCCGACACGTTCTATGTGGAAACAATGTGCCGCTGGTACCATTGGGCACTGGTTGTAATCCAGCATCGAGACGAAGGAGGCGTGGGATGCCTGGCACTCCGTGCAGCATTCTAGAAACACACCTGGTGTACAGACTTGCATGCTTACATACAGTCACTGCCTTTGTTTCAGTAGCCCTGCCCATCTGTCTCTCTGTCAGTCTCTGCGGGTCCTGCCTGCCTGTCTGTCTTTCGCGTCGCTGCTGGGGCAGCTGAGGCCACCAACATTCCCCGTGCTCTGCATGCCCAGAGGGACTGCAAAGGACGCCAGTGCTAAGAGCTCTTGCTGTGCGACAGAATGCAAGAGACGTCAACATGCCATTCGCATCTTAAGCGTCTTTGCAGGGGTTTCGGGTGACTGTGAGCATCCCTAACTCCCAGAGGGCGGGCCCGACCACTCTGAATAGGACAGCATCGGCGTTGACTGTCTCGAGAGGTGCCATCCGTAAAGACGGGGACCCGGAAGTTTCTGCCAGCTTTGAATTTCACGGGCAGATTCACATCGAGGACGAGGTGCTCGTGCCGAAGGAGCTGCCGCGCTTCTTTCTCTCCCCTTGTCGCATTAGGAGCAAGCACCCGCGTGCGCACGCTCTTGCACACCGGCGCGTAGCCGCACACCGGTTCAATGTCTGGTCGGAGTGACAAAGCAGTTTGACAGGGGCACTAGTCTGTGACGCCCGGTAGGGAACGGAGTTGCGGAAACTAGGCGGATACGAAACAGTGTGGCTTCAGACAAACCAGGAATTGCACCAGCTGATTCCAGCTGCCTGAGATGCCTAGCTAACCGAGCCCTGCGTCGGCAGAGGAGTTGAAATGGTTCACGCTTCTGAGCTGCTAAGAAACCCACGTGTGCCTTGAAAAGCTGTCGCTGCAGCTCGAGCTTCTGTTCGTCTGCTGTTGCGAACGGAACCTCCTGGACGAGTTATCAGGTGAGGCTTGGCAATGCTCACGGTCCTTGTGTGCCAGATACTGCAGTCTTTCGGCACACATTAATCGGGAGAGGTGGGGTCGGAAGCTTCATACACTTCTGGCAGGAGCGTCTCGGATTCTCAAATCAGCTCTCTCTCAGAAGATCCAGCCGGAGCGTGGCAGACATGCAGTGCCCTAAGAGATCCCGTCCTCCCAGGTACTAAACTCTGCGAGGGCCTGCACCACCTCTACCGCTCAAAAAGAAATGCCCATAGAAGGACCTCAGACCTCCAGTCTACAGTCTACATCATTGCCTGCGACACAAGGAGGACAGCTGCGCAGAGGGCATAGGTCAGCGTTCGAGATGGAATACACGGCCGCCGCATCACGCTGAAACCTTGGACAACAACTCCAGCAAAACCACAAAAAGCTTGCAAAGCCTGTGTGCTGGCCACGAGGCCCAAGGAGGCTGTGAAGCACAGGAAAAGCGACATGATCCTGCTCAGGGTGCAAGTGGAAACATGTCGGGACAAATCTGCAGAGGGGCCAGGAGAGAGGGGCGCGTGAGATTGCCCAGTCTTCAGCTTCTTGCTCCACCTACCTAAGGGACCTATCTCGCTATCTAGCTATCTACCGACCTATCT